GTGTAGTCTTGTAGAAGTTTACCAACGTTTCTGAGGTCCCTGCTGCCTCCATAATCAATCAGGGAGTTTGTCGCAAAGCACATCAACTGAGACAGATATTAAATAATCCCACTAACTGTCCGTGTAGGCTTACAGTGCCAAATTTAATCGCAATCCGTTTAATAGTTTGGGATACAAAAATGCTGACATTATGCGTATGCACAAAATGTAAAGAACGCGTACAAATGATTACGTAATTACCTCAGCGACGTTCAATGCCACAAGTGGCTGACATTCGCATGCCAAGAAAACAAGGCAATGTGTAGTCCGCTTTATGCTATTGTAAAACTGCACTGCAAGATACGTAAGGTCAACGCCAACCCTGTTTGTGTGCATATATGGCTCGTAACCACGGCCACGGGGCAGAGTGGGCGAAAAATTGTGTTCGGCTGCAGACAAAATTGTACCAATGTCGCTTATTGCTTGCACGCACTAGAGTGTCTGACGCTGCATCAACTATTTCTGCTATTTATGAATAAAAACAACTGGCAGGATGGAGCTAACGGGAATAAAACCGCTCAAAACGTTAAAAATCTCGTTTGTTTTGGTTCATACAACTTGTAACTATGAGATAAAGGTAAAGTTGTCCCTGCACCCAAGCAAATTATGAAAGGATATCGAGGGCGTGGAAGTATAGTACCACATTTTCTAGACCTTGGCAGTGGAAGGTACTGAGAGGACAGACAGCTTGACGCTCCAACTGGTGGCGAAGAGAAAAATAGCCTGCCAGGAATCGAACCCAGTAACCAGTCGCCTGACTATGAATGCGTGAGAAACAACATTTTTTAAGAAATAAATGAGCGTATTCCACTGGCGAGAACCACTGTATTTAAATGCAAATATCTCGGCACAGCGCATGAGGAGAAAAGCGGAAGGCATTCTTAACCTCGGCACCAGACGAAGATGAGTAGTGAGACTCACGTTCCGGCCGCTATACCCCAGAGAAACATGGGTAGGAAGCATGTCTGAACCAGATGGGGAAGGAAAAACCTTTGCCCACACCGGGAATAGAACTGAGGTCGTCCAGTCCATAGCAAATCGCTCTACTGACACAAACATCAGAGATCAAATCGAGAACGGCAAGGAAGGAACCAAGGACCATCTGTCGTGTACGTTTCAGAATCAGCTCGACTTTGCACGCAGGCTGGACTGTGGAAGGCTGAAAATGAAACACAAAACAGTGTTCTCACGTGACGTAATTATCATGAGTCATGAACTAGTCGAGACAGTAAATAACATAAAAAGTGGAACGAAAGCGTTCAGAGTACAAAGGGGTAATGAAGAGGGGTTATAAAACAAAAGGGGCGACACCGAAAGTAAGGCAGGACTACGCCCTCATCCACTCTCATTACTCTTTAACAGATGTCACTGAACAAGTTGTGTGGTAACCCATCTCACTGCTCCGGGTTCGAGCACTGGCGTGGGTAACTATCCCAGTCTGCTTTTAGAGTGCGCCGTGTAGTCTGGCAGAAGTTTGCCGATCATCGCCCTGATAATGGAGGCAGCAAGGTCCTCGGAAACTTTGGTAAACTGCTACCAGACTACGTGGCGCACCAGCCCAGAAGACAGTCATTAACACATTTTTCTAAACACGACCAAAAAAACATATGAAAAATGAAAATTCGTGTTTCAATCCACAAAACAGCGAGATTACACTTTCACTGTGACAATGCAAGGAATAGCTTGAGTTACTCCGTTCTTCTAAGAATGTATAAAATGCGACAATGCAAGGAATAGCTTGAGTTACTCAGTTCTTCTACCAACACATCGGTTTAAATGTCTTTATGCATTAAACGATGTTAAACTAAATTTCGGGCCATTTGGAGCCACCCTGTTATTTGCATTGGACCCTACAACGTTTCATGCTGAAACTAAAGAATGTATTAAATTCCTAAAACTGATCTTTCGGATTCTGTACCTTTTGCTAAAAGAAAAAATGTTTAATCTGCAAACAGTGTTCTTAAAAAGAACTGAAATTTAAAACAGTTTGTTAAAAGATACATAAGATGGACATATCGAACTTCGTGTTATCACACTGTTGTTATTCTAAACGCAATGTGTGTTAAAATGTAGTGGATTTTACTTTGCCCATAGATATTCAGTCTAAACTAAACACATCTCGACACTGCCAGAGAGCCAATTCTCTCTGCGTTTCTGCAGCAATCAAATTAGAACGGAAGCAGGACGGGAAATTAAACCGACTTCACGTATCTACACCGTAAAGGCAGGTTCGGGGAATTTCGCTGTCTGTCAATATGAAAACAAAATTCTATTTCAAACGAAGCATTAACACGAAAACAGGCCAAATTCCAGTAGAATTCAACATTATTCAAAGGCATGTTGAAATATCTCGAAATCTGCACGCAATAAATAATCTTTATGATTTTTATATAAAAAAAAGATTTCAACAAGTGGAGTCATTTCCAATGGAAACAAACAACAAAAGTGCTTTAGATCCATTTTCACAAAAGATCAGAATAGAAACGACAAACGATGAAGTCTGTATTGCAATATATCGCGAAGTCAATTTCGAAGGGTGTTCTAAAAATGAGTACATAAACTTAAACTGCATTCCATACACGCACAAAGTCAGTGTTCTGTTGACAGAAATATTAATACTATCGCCACATGTCCTTAAAATAAAATTCATCAGAAACAATAAAGGATAACTTTGTATTCCTCACACGAAATGCTTACAAAACAAAGCTTTAATAAAACACCTGTCTCATCTCCGAAACTACAGAGCATATTTCGAAAAAAAATATGATAAAAAAGGAGACCACTAAAATCTGAGCAGTATTTAAGTTCATGATTCTCCTGACCCATTTTACACACAGTTCAAATCGAATCATCGCCTTTATAAGAATTAATCATCATGCCAAAATATATGGCAAAGTACGGAAGGCATCAAGATCTACCATTACGTCAGAGAACTCTTAGGAAGTTGCGTAGGTTTATTCAAGGGCGTTTTCTGGATGGATTTTATAGCGTTGATTAAGGGGACTATTGTGACTAGGCAAGAATTTGAAAGGAAGCTGGTCGGGACTGGAAGCATTCGTTTGGTCCAAAATGGCGTGTGCCAAACACCGTGACAATGAGATTGGCTATTCGTTTAACAATAACCTACAGCACAGGTGGAAATGTAAACAGGATACGAAAACGGTAATAAAAGGTACTACTAAGCTTCACGTGAATTTGTTTTTGAGATAAGTTTGTGCCACCTATTGAGCAGAATCTGAACCATTTCCCCATTTCTCTGGCACGAAGCTGTAAAGAAGTGTGAATATAGACGTTCTATTTAAGGAATCAGGGGTAATCAACCTCTGACATTAGACGGTGCACGCAAGTCAGATATTCACTTGCTGCCCCAAGCCATGTGACATCCAATTTATGCTCCCATACAGGTACAGGCCAAACTCAACCTCTTTCACAAGTTGTTCAAGGTTCCTACCAGCTGTGTTAATAAGCAACTTAAATATTATTGCAACACTAATGTCAGCAGAAACTGCAAATATCAAAGTCCACCACTGAACTAAATCCTGATCCAGCTCCATCAATTTCACAATCTAAAGAACCAAGATCATAAAAATTAATTTTAATGTTGGTCTCTCACTAAGTAAAGGATGGTTCAGATACAACAGAAGTGTCCATGAGAGGAAACAAACAAATAAAGGAGGCTTTCTCAAGGGGCAAACCACTGAGATGGAAACATCAGTGGATGACGATGATGACTGTTGCATATGGAACACAGTTTTCCTTGTTTGTAAGCTCACACAAAAAACATTCTTCAGCATATGCATGAAACAAAGTATTTACAGTAAGAAAGCCTCTAAAAATGTATGTGGACTGGCTGTGATCAATTTCAAATCAATGGTTATGCAAATCACAATGTTTCAACAGATCCTGTCAACAGATGACGTGGTTTGAATAGAAAGGATTCCAGTTTTAAGATCAGCTGAAGGTTT